TTTTTAAAAAATATTTTCTATTTTTGAAATTTTTTATTCAATATAAATAAAATATAATAAAATTTTTTGGTTTTCTTTCAAATACTTGATTGAAAACATCAAATAAATGATATTGGTATTTTTTAATTTTTAGATAGGATATAAAATATAATCATATAATTATAACAATTAATAAAATTAAAAAAAATAAAATAAAAAGGAGTTGGCCAGTGACTTGGCAGGCTAACTCATGACGAGACATAAGTATGGTAGTACAGGTTGAAAAGATTTGTTAGTTGGAAAAGCCAACCTTGATCCGTTATTTTTGGTGAGTTAGACTAACTCTACTTTTCTTTAAGCCTGATTGGTATGAGGAAAAAAAATGAGAGGAGATGAGGAAAAATTTTAATAAGCTCAATTTAAAAAGTTGAAAAAATGGGATTAAAAATTTTTAATTAATTTTTATTACTTTTTTATATTACTTCTTCTCTTTATTAAAATTTCAAAACCCCACTTCTCTTTTTTTTTTACATAGAACTCATTAAAATTTTTCTTCTCCTCCCCTTCTCTTCATTTCCCTCATACCAAACAGTATGTTGGGAAAAATTATGAAAAACCCTCCATTTAAAACCTTTATTGACAAGAGTTCACCCAAAAAAAAAAATTTATTGACAAGAAGGATGTGATGAATTTAATACATATATAAAAAGCATTGATAGTCTGTAAATTTTTATACACAACATATTAATACTTTACAAAACGTACTAGTACTTTTGGGGGGGGACTATTAACGAAAATCCATTTATTTCGCGCCCCAGAAAATAGTGCACTACTGAAAATGAATGAATGATCATTCGTATATTGGCAAAAGTGTTAATTGAAACTTGAGAAAGTAGTATTTTTGTATGTAGACAACGAATCAAAGCATTTAAATAAAAATGAGACAAATGAATGCCTTCTGCAACGTCGATCGCATGCCATCACCATTCAAATGAAGCAGACTGTACAAATTATATACCCACCATCATCATCACCACCACCACAATGGCCTCTCATTTTTAGCTGTTAGACTGTAGAATTATAGGGAAAATGAGATATATTTAGCAGAGTAAACAATAGATATGAGGAAAACATGCAGCGAGTCTCCAAAAAAACAAAACAAAAAACGAAAAGCAAAAAACAAAAAGTTTCATCCTGCAGTTCTTCCAAAATGTGTACATCAATTACATCTTTCTGAGAAGAAAATGGAGAGATCACGGAGGAGAGACGGTATATAAATAAGCCAAGGAAGAATCTGATGACAATAATTCTCATTAATGCAGCCGTATATCTGTGTTAGTATTTGAGTAGTAAATAACGTTAAATCTGTTGTTATTAGTTGTATTATGTGGTAAACATGCATTTTTGTGAGTTGTAAATTTAGAAGCATTCTAAATAATAATTAATTTGTGAATTTGCCCCTTTTCTGTAATTCCGTTTATAAATAAATTATAAATTCAAAATTCAAAATTCAAAATTCAAAATTCAAATGGTATGGTGTGCCATGACAAAATTTCTAAGTGTACGCAATCAAAAAATATAACGCCTGCAAAAAGAAAAAGAAGAAATTCCAAAGGAAAAAAAAAATCTAAAGTGAAAAGTGTGCACCTTTGAAGAGCCGCGAGTGTGGTTTTGGAGAAGAGGGGGCAATCTCTAATAATTGGATCTGTCAGGTTTGGAAATATGTTGTTGTAAAACCCTTCCTCTTGGATTTCGGGTTCGCAATTAAAAAGTCCCTTTAGTTCATAGTCACATTTTTTATATGAAAAATGTTAAAAGAATATATTTAATAAATATTAAAAATAAAGTGAAATGAAGTCTCACAACACACACATATATGTTCCATATAATTTCATCCATTGTGCTCTGAAATTGAAAGAAAAGCTATTTGTGTCCATACATCAAGTATTTTTTTTCTTCTTCACGTCCTTGAAAATCTCCTTGTAATTTATAAATTCCCTATATAATTTATACAGCTACCCAAATGAGATATATATATATATATATAATGATTCTAATAACATATATTCCATCTAATTTTGAAGACTCTAAATCAAGATGATATGGAATATTCATTCATACCGATATTGTTCCCAATTGTTGAAGTGCCCTTCCTAAAGTTGAATCCACAAATTTTGGGCAGTTCCATATGCTGATGCTACTCAGCTTCACCTGAATCTGCAATCCTTGACAAACACTTTTCAAATTTGTCAGCCGTATCTTGCTCAAGCTGGAAAGCACAATTGCCTCACTGCAGTTCGCATCACCTTCACTGCTATGTCTAAAAATCACCTCCAGTTGATTAGCCTCAGCTATTGACAAAAAGTCTAGCTGTGGAAGAATAATACCCGCGGTCGTAGACAAGAGTCTTTTGAGCTTGTTGCACCTCTCAACCATCAACTCCCTAAGTTCTGGGAAGGGAACTTCAACACTGGACATGATCTGATGTTCCTCATTCTGTGCAATTATTTCCTCCAGTTCTTCACAATCACATAAGATCAGGAAAGCCACTTTGGGAAGGCTGGTGTGGACAATAGTGCTCCTTGAGAACAAAGACTTCAACCTTTTATTGTGAGTTACTGTTAAGGAATGAAGATGTTGAAAGCTCAAAACTAGCGTGGGAACTAGACCTCCCACCATTTGTTGTTCTGATCTCAACATTCCTGAGTTGTTGGTTTCTTCTTCCTCATCATCACCAATCACTCGGCAGTTGTGTTCAACTCCAGGACTTCGAATATCAAGCTCTCCAGCATTCAGAACAGGAAGCGGAAGATTGAGAGCCTCATTATTATATAATTGGTTGTATTTCAACACATACTCCCTTACAAGTCCCTGCATATAACAGAGAAGTGAAAAGTGGGCGAAATAAGATATTTCTAAGTTCGTTGAAAAGATTATGAAAAGAAAGAGATGTAAGAGATTGCAATACATTCAACATCTGCACCTATTTGTACAAGTCAACAGATGCAGTTCATTAATTTAGTAACTTTAATTTGTATGCAGGAACATATCATGTTGAAACATATAATGCACTGCATAGATGAAATCCTTCTTCTTTTCAACTTCTATAGTTTGAACTATCATTGACTGTGAGGTAACATGGTATAAGAAAAATTTATATCATATTTGTATCAGTAGTACCAAAATAGTCACCAGTTGATCAAGTATATGAGAGAGGGAAAATAAAAAGTGTGAAAATTGATACATGTACATAACTACAAAAGAACGCTGGATTAAACGTAGGATTGTTTGTTTTTCAAACTAGCTTTTGTTTGCAATATTTGCAAATAAAAGATCGACAAGATTTGCAGTGTTGAGAAAAGGAAATTTAGAATATTAGTTACCTTTTCAGTCCAATGAATAGTTGCACTTATAACTGGCATGAAATTTGGGCAGAGACGAACCTTAACCCAGAAAAACTCCCCTGTATGCAACTTAAACCCCTGGCAGACATTAACAAGTCGTGGCAAGTTATCGAGTTCCATATGTTTCATGCCTGGGAATGTTATCTCCTTTTCACTGTTAATGTCATGATCCTCAACATCTGAGCACTTGAAGAGAAGAATTTGATATGGTTAGAGCGCTTAGTTGGGGAAGTATTGAGGTAGCAGCACCGATCATGAAAATGAATTTAAGCTTGTTGCAGTAAGAGATCTCCAGACTCTTCAATTTTAGCAGATCAGATTCAGCTATGGGTAGATTCTTACGTGTCTCTTCATTCCAAAAAATTGCCTCCAACTCCTCACAGCAAGATATGGTTACAGAAGCTAACTCAGGAAGACTTCGACAAATATGAGCAGAAAAGACAAATTTTAGTCTTTTACAATTATTCAAAGCTAATTCTTGAAGGTATTTAAATGTTGGACTTTGTTCTCCCATCCCAGTCTTATAAAGGAAAATGGATTGTACTCCACGTTACGAAGTTTAATACATTCTATAGCTGCCCCGGACTTGCATTCTTCATTCCTCAATTGATGGCCTTTAAGTTCCTACAATTCCTTTGTGAAAGAGGGAAAAAGGGAAGAAAAGAAAAGAAGAGGAAAACCGTCAACATAATTCCTAAAAAACGATAAATTGAGAATAATTAAAATTCTATATGTACATGTATTATTCTTGCATAGACTTAGTCTATCAATTTTTTGGTAAATTAAACAAGATCAGCCATATGCATATATAAGAAAATAGACATTTCACAATAAAGTTAAGTTACGAATTTTTTTAGTTCAATTGGTTCAATATATATGTCGGCAAATATAGACACAAACGTGTCACAATCAATGAAGTTAAGGAAAAATTATAATGAGGGGCCCATAAAAATCAATGTTTGTTGTGGGCTATTGAAATGGTAGATAAATCGAATGGCGGAAATAACAAAATAACAAAATTTAAATTCTACATGTACATGTATTTTATTTTTTTAATATGGAGTACGTCTAAAACAAAAGTTCTTATTAGTAATTGCATTTTTATTTTCATACTGCAGAATAATTCCAAACCAAAAGCAGGGTGAGACTCAAATGCACAAAAAGAATGATGTATGATTTTAGATATTTTAATTTCATTTCCTATTTTAAATAATGGAAGAACGTGAATGAATTAATTGACTGGATCACGTCTCAAGATGTATTCACTCGAACACTATTTGATATTTACCGTTTGCTAAAAAATTTCTTAATCACATGAACAAAGATATCATATTATATAAAAAGCTTTAATATTTTTTAACTTCTTTTTTGGCCAAATCAAGTTACAATATGTGAGGCAAACACGTACCAGATTTGGACAATCCTCCCATTCTATTGTCTTTATTGATGGCCACCTTGGATGATACCTCTCTGAGCAAATTCCGACAAGGTTTGGAAGATTTGTTAGTGTGAGGTATTCCAAAAGAGAAAGAGCTATTTGAGTCTCATCTTGATCACACATTGGTTGTTCTTCATCAGCATTTTCACCGAACACAAATTTCATCTGAGGAGCATTTGTTATGGATAGACGCTGCAACCGTCCAAACCTTTGAGCTAAAAAGACGGGGCATACAGATTCTAATTTGCAGCAATTATCAACAGACAAAATTTTCAATTTTGGGAAGCTCAAATTCTCCCATGCATCACCACCACCCTCTCCTTCTATTACATGCTTCAGTTCACTGCAACTTTCTATTCGGAGCACTTGTAAGGACAGCAGAGTGCACACAGCAGAGACAGGGAAGAGAGATGTCAACCTCGGACAACCAGAAATATTGAGAAACTTAAGATTGCCTAAGTTGCAGTCAGCAGGGAATATATAGAGCAACTGAGAGCAATTGGATATACGTAGCCTTTCCAGCTTTTGGAACAAGCTAAAAGAAGAAAGACCACGATGTAGTTGTTGAAGATTATCCATATCTTCTAGCACTAACTCGTCCAATCTTGGGGCAATCGCATCTTCATGAGCATTGATTTTGTCAATAATGCATTCCATCTCTGAACACCTTCTAAGACAGAGTTTAGATAACTCATTCATGCCTCCGATAGCTTGAACAACATTAGGCATGAAATTTCTGCTGCCTCCCTCAAGCTTATAAAATTCAATTTCTATTGCTCTTTGTGCAAGATCCTTGATTCCTCCACTTACAATGCCGATATTTAACGAACCCAAGCATAAATATCTTGCGCTTTTATTTGGAGATGGAAGGTAGCGTATTCCATGCATCCCAATTTCTAACGTATACCTTCTCAATTTTGTCAAAGCAATAGGGGCCATAAAGCATTCATGGCAATTTGCATTTTTTGACTGTAGAAAATGCATAGAAATATACAACTCTTCTAACTGTGAGCACCTTCCTAGTACTTTGTAACAACATTCACCTATTTTACAACCCAACAAATCTAACAACTTCAGCTTGTTTAAATTTTCAATTCCATTTGGCATTCTTTCAAACATACTTCTTTGCAGGTCAAGAATTTCAAGTCTTGTAAGGCTTACCACAAAAGAGATGTCACCTAAATTGCAACCCTGCAATCGCAATGTACGAAGACTAGACAACTGTTGGATTGATTGAGATAATGATAGTCTAATACCGAACCCAAAATATGAGGGCCTAATAATCAACGCCTTCAGTCCTTTAGTGCCTTCAAATGATGCATTTGACATATCCAAGAGATTTTGAGAATGTAACAACAGAAACTCAAGCTTTGGAGCATCCAATTGAGAAGGAAATTGAAATTGTTTGTTGTTTGCATACCATGAAGATGCAGCATAACAATTTTTCACCACTTCATCAGCAATCAATTCATTCAATTCTTTTCTACAATTTACCTTAATGGTACGATCCTCTTCAGATGCTTTCCACAATGCAAAGTCACGAATCATATCATGCATTGTCACATATTCTTGTGACTTTGTGTTGAGTTTTGAAGAATGCCTCAACAATGAGGAGTCAATGAGATAATTTATAGTTGCTCTAACTTGGCTCCTTGCTGTTTCAAATAAGTCTACATCTTCACATAGGCCTAAACCCACTCCATATCTGAAAAGGTCTTCGACACCAATATCATGATCTTCAGGAAACATAGCACACATTAACAACAGCAACTTGGCTTTTGGGGTTGCCAAATAATCATAGCTTAATTCAAGACAAGTAAAAGCCTTCCTCACTCCTTTATCCACAATGTTTGGCTTCGAGTTCCTCAACCGATACAACATCACCTTCATCTCATCAACTCCTTTTTCTTTCAAGCAAGTACCCACAACTACAATTGCAATAGGTAGGCCCTTACATTCTATAGCAATTTCTCGTGCCATATCTTCTTTGGCAACATCATAGACATAATTAGCATGAGTTTGAAACAAAGTCCAAGCTTCATCTTCTTTTAACAAATCAAGTCGAATCTTCTTTTGGCATTCCATCCTGTTACATACATCAAGAATGCGTGTAGTTAGGACAACTTTGAGACTTCTTTGATGATTTTCCCCTAAAGGAATCCCTATGTCCTCAAGAGTCAGCACATCCCAAAGATCATCCAGTGTTATCAAAATTCGTTCTCCACTTCGTAATCGTTGTGCTATTCTTTTTGCCCTTCCCGTTTCAGATTCTTCCTTCAATTCAAGCCCCAATGCATCAGCAATATCACCTTGAATTTTTCTTATATCTGGGCTTTGAGAAATTGTAGTTGGCACGACTCGATCAAAGAGCGGTGACTCCTGGGCTTTCTTTCCCACTACTCTCATCAAGGAGGTTTTCCCTGACCCTCCCATTCCCCATAACCCAATCATGGAGCTACCGTCATCTTGCAATGCCTCCCACAGCTGATGAAAAGCTATTTGTGTAGAGCTGAAGAACTTAAAGTTTTGAGAAGAGAGAAATTCTATATTTGGAGCAATAACAGGATGGGCAACTTGATTAAAGCGACCACACTCTGTATTTAGATCAATCATCCTGTGTGTTGTTTTAGCCAACTTTTTGCAGAGACAATATCTCCTCCAAGTAGGACACCACCCTCGAAGGCAGCCATTGTTGGCCCTTAGTTCTTCCTCCAATTTCTCCACCTCTGCTATGAGACTCTCTACATCATTCTTCCACTTGTCAACCTCACCATCAATCCTCTCAGTCCTGTTGATGGCCTCTCGAACACGTTCCTGTATCATCCCTTGCTGGAGTATCAGCTCCTTCTTTCTGATATCAACAGTTCTGGTGATTTTGCTGACACAGAACAAATATTGCAGTTGCTGTAAAGTTGGATCCACCAGATATTCAGCAAGTTTTGCTGCTACCGACACTCCCACCTCTGCCATTTAGTATTAATAGCAACCTGAAAGGAGAGCCATTCACCATCATCCATTGACTAAGTCAAAATTTCATTATGAAGAATTGAAGCATCTCAATTACGTACTTAATATTTCATGAAGATATCATCAAGATGAAAAGAATGATTTTTTCCCTAATCCAGAGTAAAACAAGAAAGATCAAATGTCTTGGCTCAGCTTTCTTGCTCTGATAACATGTGTTTTTGGCGCTTCTACTATGTTCAGATATTAGAGTAACAAAATTTAATGTTTTGTGATTCTATTTTTCCCTTGCAGATCGATGCAAAGGTGAAAGAAAGAAGAAAGAATGAAGTCTGCAATTGACAGCAGCAATTATTAGCATCTAACAAGTTATTCATGCCTTGAGAATTGAGAAACCCATTTTGTAATGTAACTAATTACACTACAAAATGAGTCTTGCATTTAGGACCAGAGAAGTATTACAGATATAAAAAAAAAGTGTGTTTGTGCCTAAATGCTTAGTTTCTCTTTTTCAATTTTTTTGTCACCTTCCTTAGCTTCTATAAATGTATGAAATTCAGATACTTTTCATTCTTTTGCTTAGGAAATGTCTCATTTTGAACAAGTGCTGGATTTAGTATATATTAAAATGCTAGATGACTCATTTTGACTAGTTAATTAATTGAAATATAGTGAAAGAGAAATTGAGAGATAAGATCAATGAGGGGAAATGCGAAACATATGTTCTCAACACATTATTAGTATTATTATCTTTCGTGTGTATCAATCCTTTTCTAAGTATACTATACGGCTTAAGAATATTTAGGGTGTGTTTGGATGAAACCAAACCGTGGTTTGGAAAAGTGATTCTGGAAAATAGATTCTGGGGAGAATAGATTCTGTGAAGAATAGATTTTGTAAAGAAGTGATTCTGAGAAGTGAGAGTGTTTGGATAGTTGTTATCAGAAATACTTTTTATATATACAAATTACTAAAAAAAGACATAAGTTAATATGATAATTACAAAAAAAAATAAATTTTATGATATATTTTAATTTGAAGGAATAAAATTGTTAATAATATATTTTTTTACCAACATAATTAATAATACATAAGATAATATAATTAATAAATAATTAATATGTATATATATATATTTATAAAATATAATATTAAATATGTTTATAAAAAATATGTTTATAAAAAAAATAACAAGATACATATCCTATAGGCTCTCACACTCTCCCTTTTTTCTCCAAAAGCAAAAAATTTTTGCTTTTTCCAAAACCATGGTTTTGGTTTTTGGGTAGGTGTTTGGGTGACTTAATCTCCAAACCATGGTTTGGGGTGTCACCCAAACACACCCTTAATTTGATTCAATTATATGACTTAAGTTAGATAGATGTACTCATTAAGGACAATGAAATTAGTAAGTTACACTTTTTGAGAAATATATAACATTTTAAAAGATTTCACAATGAAGTACATTAGTCGTAGATGAGACTTTTCAAAAGGGGTTTTCAGGTATTTTCATAATTTTTTTTGGTATTTTTACTTAATTTTTTTTTACCAAAGCTTGATAAATAAAATTTAGAAAAGTAATTTTTTTTAAACTTATCTTCATAACAATGATATCGTTAATTTCATTAATAAAAAACGCGAGCATTAAAATTTAAAACATTGACAAAATATTTTCTAATATTAACATATTAAATTTTTATGAATAATAATCATGACATAAAAATCATTATTTATTGAATCTAACAGTAGATTCAGTTACTTTAGTGTCTAAGAGATATCTCATAGCACGAAAGTTACAATAATTGGTCTTCTTATTTTTCATCAAGTTTACCGTTCAGTTTGGTGCTATATCTTTATGGAATAAATTTTGATTCTCAAATGGGATAAATAATAAATCGATTTGCCCAAACTTTTGTGGAAGTAAAAATATGAGACACTTTTACATTTTTTTCTAATTAGGAATCCCATGTTGGTATGTTATTTTTTTAATCTAAGAATCATTGACCTTTGCCCCTACTTTTATATGAAGCATAACACTTTCTTCAAAACCACCAAAACTATTATATAATCTCTCAGATTGATTGGGAAAGACATCTTAGGTAAATTAATTTATACAGACTTTCTTCGAAATAAAAATATACTGGAAATTTACAGATAAGTCCGAATTATAAAATTTAGTTACCAATAAATCCTATATTCTGCAAATTGTCACAACTCACAAGATGACATGCCCATTAAAAGTGTTTAAATAAATTCAGGAGAGGGATATTGCTTCATACCTGTGATAGATGAAGTTACACTTTCAGTGTGGGCTTGGAGATTTTGAAGAGTAATCACAGAATTGCACTGCGATGACCAGATCTGGTAAAATTTTTCAGAACTAGTATCTTATGAAATCCCTACAAGTGGTAGATGTAATGATTTTTTAATAAGTTCGTTCATTAGTCTGGTAAACAAAAAAAATAAGGCAAATAAAATAAAGTAAATCATTATTTAGAAAGTGTTTGACTTGAATTAGTAGATGCAACTCTTTTTCAGTGTTCAACGTATCTTCACTTATATGTAAATATTTTTTTTCTACATAGCTGAAAAAGTGTTGCACGCGCCGACAATAAGGATTTTTTTTTTTTTGTGCCAACACATGACAAGGATAAGGTTTTTTTTTTTTTGGCCACTCATGCTGAGGATAAGTTGCCCTTTAATCTTTAAACAAATTTCAAGTACCTTTAATTAATAAATATTTTAATGAGGGATTTTAATCAATTTTTCTACTTTATTTAATAAACAAATGTAAAAGTGTTTGAAGAAAATTGAAAAAAATGTACTTCAATAAAAGAAAAATGCATATAAAACATATAAAACTTAATGATTTGATTCTGTTTCTTTTCTTCAAGCATCATAAATATTTTTGAGAGATAATATAAAAATATTTTAATAAAGATAGAACATGTGTGCTAGAAAAATCTTGAAATATTAACTTATTTATTGCAAAGCCATTATTCTTCCAAACTCAGGTGCGTACCGTTTCAAAATCAAAATTTTATTCCATGAAGAGCAATCTTTTTACTGCTTCAACTCCAAATACGTAACAGCAAGCTGATGAAAGGTAAATTTGAAGATGTAGAATCTGAAAAATAAGAAAGATCAATGATGAAAGGTAAATTTGAAGATGTAGAATCTGAAAAATAAGAAAGATCAATTGTTGTAACTTGATTGCCATGAGATGTAAGCTTTTTGCAGCTATTTTTAGACACTAAAGGAACTACGTACTGTTTTGAGTGGTATTTTCTATCAGATCTGTCCCATTCTAGTTGAAAGAAGAACAAGTAACAAATGTAATATGTAAGTGACAGCTCCAGAAAACGAAAGACTAACGAGGATTTGATTTTCATACCAGATAATTAAGCTCGCAAAATTCAGCTTAAGATTCCCGGCTTGCAAATTTTCAGAGACCAGATGAACAGAATTCCACTGCGATCACCCGACTTTTCATGAGCTTGATGAGTCGTCAACTTGGTTGGAAATCACACTGCTCTTTCTTTCTCTCTCTAAAATAGAAAGCAAGGATCACAAAATGAGAAACTCAGAGGCAAAGCAAAAGAGATTTTCATATTCATATATCACGTCAACTTGGGTTGTCAACTCGGTTGCAGCTTGGAAATGATAAGGCTCTTTCTTTGTCCTTTCTAATGGACCCCAATAATGATCCTAGAGAGAGGAGACTCCTAATGCAAAACCCCATCCAATATACAACACATAATATTTTTATATAAAACATCATTATTATTTCCGAGGAATAAATTTTATTTTTCATTAATTAATTCATCTTATGCTCTTTCTATCTTACTTTTTTTTTTTATGGTCTGCATATATTTTAGTGTCATATATAATATTATTGTAGTTTGTGGAATGCTTTTGAATTGGTTTTAATGTATTTAAATATGAATGTTTTGCATTTTAATTGAGGTCCATATATTCGCTCACATCATTTTGCACTTAAATTTAAATTTGAGAAAATTCAGAAATTGCTTGGCAAAAATAATGATCTAGGTTGACTTTAAAGTTTAAACTACAAAATTTATTTGGACCTAATTTAATTGTGGTAAGTATTATCAGTTTATCATCTTACCTTTTTTTTTTTTTTTTGAACGATACAGTTACCTTACTTTTTACTGTGAAAACCTATTTTAAAGCAATTGAAAAATTCCCTTTTTTTTTAATAGAATTTCCCAAACCACATAACTGGTTTGTAAAGGAAGAATTACAATGAGATTCCAAAAATAGAAAATAATTATCAGTAAATTTTAATGACAAGTGAGCAATTATCATTTCCTATTATGAAATTTGTTATTGTTCTATTATCATTAGGGCTTTTTAGTAATTATGTTCATTATTTGGGATTTTATAGTAATTCTCCCTAATTTAAATTTTCAAAACAGTTTATTGTGCAAATCAATATTAGAATAAAAATATGTTTGATTTTAATAGAAATATAAAGTATTTAGTCCAAAAAAATAAAAATATAAAAAAGGTGTCATTGTAGAGAAAACACAGTTTTTATTTTATTGATCTAGATTTTTGTAAAACTTAGGATATTCAGGCATTAATTAATTCATGGATTAGAACTAATTAATTAATAATATATGTAGTTCTCGGAGCGCACCGCTTCACCTTCAACGCTGGGACGTCCCGTTTCAAAATCAAAATTTGATTGATCTGCAACAGAAATGTTTTACTGCTTCATCCTTAGATACGTAACAGCAAACGGAAAGTTAAATTTCATGTTTTAACATATTTTATAATGTAGTAATTTAGTAATTTTTTTAATCTTTCTAAATTAATCAATTGAGTCTTATATTAAGAATTAAGCATTCCGAACAAACCCTTTGCCGATATACGAATGTTTATATACCTTTTTTGACCGAATATGAATGTTTATATATCAATAATGTGTGATTACAGGCCAAAAAAAAATGATACATTTCCAATTGCAGTTGCATCTATTT